AGCTCTTTATGTCTCCAATGGGCCCAATTCTGCTTTTTTTTAGGGCACCTGTGTAGCAGGACAGGTTGCTCTGGCTGTATGCCCACCCCTGATAAATGGGTAATATTTCCATAAACTACTTCAGTGGGTAAACAACCAGAAAATAATTTTACATCTTACATCTACAGCAGAGACATCAAGTGCTGTCACTGCCACAATATTTATATATAGTTTGGCAGTGACAGCACTTGATTTCTCAGCTGTAGATGTAAGATGTACAACTATCTGGTGGTTCACCTACAAGTAGTTTAGGGAAATATGACCTATTTCTCAGGGGTGGGCATGCAGCCAGAGCAACCTATAAACTATATATAAATAGTCAAAGAGCCAAGTTAAATGACAGTTCATTACCTGCTAATGCAAGCAGCAACAGAGCCAGACATTTCCTCAATGCCTCCAGTAGCTTGGGAACAGCCTCCTTGATTTTTGAAGCCAGCACCCCATCATGTAGAGAGGTATGAGCCTCATCAATGTCCTTTTTCTCCTCTGTGTCTTCATTTCCAGTCCCCGTCTCCCTCAGCTCTTCATCTTCCTAATGATGAAAAAGGAATAGTGGGGATTTAAACGGTGCCAAATGTACTTTTTACAACATAAACCACTGTCAGCTATTAGAATGAGGCATCTGCTTATATCCTCATGACTTCGGGTCTCGGAAACCTACTGGGTCCTGGACCTACAAACATATCTAGAATACGGGCTGGAAGTTATAGCTGAAGAGTTGGGAAGCCACTGCCTGCCTGATCCTTTACTTGTCCTGATTGCTAAAAACAGGGAATCTCTGCAAGTCTGAAAGGTGGAGGTCCCATGACACCTAGATGTAGCTCGGCTTCTTCATGAATTATTTTAGGTACATTCAGTGGTCAGAAGATTGTCTATGAAACCTGACAACTGCAAGTCTATGATTATCGAGACAAATTCACCACAGATGTCGTATTTGCAAGGTAAAGCTGAACTCCAGGCAAACCACTAAATACAAAGATAGAATTCATATAAACTGAGCCGTTTTACCTGCCAAAGGATTTGCATTTTTGCCCATTCAGTCTTGAGCTTTATACAGCTCTGCCACACAACACAGTCCTGTCCCACATGGCAGGAGACCTGATTTTTCTGTATGTTACTATTAAATTGTGATACTTATACATACTCCATATGTGTAAACCTGTTTATTAGATCAGCTCCTATTAGGGATTTCTGTGCATAGGGGACTTTCTAGTGTAACTAAGTTTTATTGAAACCCTGGAGTTTGGTTTTTCACTTTAGCTGTATTTTGCATAGCTCCCTTTGTTCCCCGTAGTTTTTGCACAGACTCTTTCTTCCCTATGGGTAAGCCATATTCCCGTCAGTCCCCTAGATTATGACTTATCCCAGATATCCTTAGATGGTATTATTCCACCTCCTCATGTATCACTTCCCCTTCCCTTTTAGATTGCAGGGCCCTCCCTACTATCTTGTCTTGAATTGCTTTGTAATGTCGTCCTGATATTGTAAAGCGCTGCGCAAACTGTTGGCGCTATATAAATCCTGCATAATAATAATAATTCCAGGTGCACTGCAGTTTGGGGAGTAGGTGGCTTCATTAAAAGGTAAAGTTGACCTTTAACTTTTTTTTTTACATTGCTGTTTTCCATTGGGGAGATTTTCCATAACTTCCTGTTCTGCTGACACAATGAGAAATAAGGAAACTGCCTTAACAGGGACACAAAGTAACAAATACTAGTTTTAAACATCCCTCACTAATAAAGAAGTTTTTATTGCTACCTATTTTTCCACTGGAAAGAACTCCTCACTTTCACTGACATAAAGTGAAGGAATATACCCCCAATGGGGACAAAGACAGCAATACAAACAAAATCTAAGAGAGGATCCACCCTTCTCCATTCCTCCTAAAAAATCTAAGAAAACATTTAAAAAGTACCTCCTGAACCTGTTGCAATATCTTAAGGGCTACATAGTTGGTTTAAACATAATTCTCTGCACAAGGATGATGGTTGGCAGAGACGGAGAGGTCTCTCTTCCATCGTGGTCAGCTTAATGTTCATAGGAACTAGCTCTTTATGTCTCCAATGGGCCCAATTCTGCTTTTTTTTTTTAGGGCACCTGTGTAGCAGAGAAGGAGAGGTCTCTCTTCCATCATGATCAGCTTAATGTTCATAGGAACTTGGACAGACATCTCTCTGCCATTCTGCTCTCTCCTACTATCAGCATGGTCCTTGCACTGTAGCACACCGGATTCACTCCTTACACTGCTTCTCCCTCCTACTATCAGAGATCTGTTGTAATGGCACTTAGCATTGCTGGACTTATTTATTAATACTGTGAATACAACAAAAATGTGCCCCAACATGCAGTAACCAAATCAGATTTCACCTTGTCAAGAGCAGTCAGAATGTAAGATAACAGCTAATTGGTTGTTAGGGAACTCCGAACTCTAAACACTGCTCTTTGCTATGTATAATGTACATATCCAATCACTATCCAAATCCTGCTGCCTTCACCTTCGCAACATCTTCATAAGCCCCATCCTCACCAATGAAACCGCTAAATTACTCATCCACTCACTTGTTATCTCTCATCTTGGCTATTGTAACTCCCTCCTCATTGGCTCTACACAGGCTCCTCCCCCCTTCAGTCTATCATGAATGCTGCTGCTAGACTCATTCACCTAAGCAACCGCTCAGTGTCTGCAACCCCCCTCTGCCAATCCCTCCACTGGCTTCCTTCCTCTGCCCCCGTCTGCCAACCTCTGCACTGGCTTCCATCCTCCGCCCCCCTCTGCCAATCCCTGCACTGGCTTCCATCCCCCACCCCCCTCTGCCAATCCCTGCACTGGCTTCCAATCACCCAAAAAATAAAATTCTAAATATTAACAACCAACCTACAAAGCCATCCACAACTCTCCAACCTCGTCTCAAAGTATCACCCTAACCATCCTCTCCGCTCCTCCCAAGACCTCATGCTCTTTTGTTCCCTCGTCCACTCCTCTGTACTCGCCTCCAGGACTTCTCTAGAGTCTCTCCCATCCTTTGGAACTCCTTACCTATCCGACTACCTCCTACTCTGTCTGCCTTTAGGCAATCCCCGACGACTCACCTCTTCAGGGAAGCCCATCCTGCCTCAACCTAACCAATGAACTACCACTGTCTCCAATAATTCATCCCCACACAGCTACCACTTGCCCCTCCCTTTTAGATAGTAAGCTCTCACAGGCAGGGCCTTCCTTACCATCTCCTTTTGATTTGTATTGTAACTGTAATGTCTTCCTTATATTGTAAATCGCTGAGTAAACGGCTAGCGCTATATAACTCCTGAATAATAGTTGGTATAGGCAGTGCAATGACTGATAGAAATGGAGATCTTTAAAATATCAAGATATCAATAAAGGAAGGCTGCGTGGTGGAGATCATTTTGAAAACATTATTTGCCTTGCTTCTATCTTGCCCCACTGTTTTATGGATGAAGCAGAAAATAGCTTAACTACCCTATTAGGTTTTTTTGTTTTTGCCATCTGTGTCCCGCTGAGGAAAGTAAACTTCACATTCTCTTCCATAAACACAACAGGAAGGGAGAGGAGTTCTCCAAAAAGCCGTCACTGGAACAACTGTCCCCATTTGGAAGATTTCCCCTCTATTCTTGTTACGACAACTTATAATTAAATAATATATTATATAGTCCAGATGACAATAGTCACCAGGAAACCTGGAGACAGTGTGACACCACCCCCCCCCCCCCCAAAAAACCCTAACAAGAGCTCAAATCTTCCCTTTCTCTATCCAAAAAAAAGTTTTGACTTTAAATACACTGTAAGTGCAGAAAAGTATACATATCAGAAAAGTCAAAGAGATTTGACTTACTGAGTTGTATTCTATCCACATGCTGGTTTTAAGTCGAGGGTGTAAAGTACTAACATCAGTAGGAAAGGTCAGGAACGGTCCCCGCCGTGTCGTCATCGCGCATGCACAGCCATCTGATTGACGCCTGCCGGCGGCCATATTGGTGATGGATGCCAGCAGAGAGGAGGGGAGGTTCACCCGGCAGGATGAAGTATGCTGCCGGGTCCCCTCTTCTCTCCTGACACTGTTGGGCTCTCGGTCCATGACCGAGTGTCCAACTTTTTAGAGGAGGTGACACCAAAATGACTGTTGGTCATTTTGGTGTCACCCAGGTGCCGCACCCCCCTTGTGACGCCACTGGGAAAGGTTACCGATGGCAGCTTCCATGTTTCTCTCATGACAGGTTTGCTTTAAAGTTTGAACCCCAGGAGGTTACATTCCCTGACACATCCAGTTCTACGATGCATGGGCCTGCAGTGTGCAAGCTGGACAGAGATTACAGCTTGCAGAGTCTCTGAGTTGGTGAAGGGTTAGCGAACTGCACACTTTTCTTGGCTCGCTCTAGGATTAAGTGAATTTCCAGCGCCCTTTACTCACACAATACACATCTGCTGGTCATGGGTCTAATTTCAATCTGGCGTCTCCTTAGAACGTCAAGTCCTGAATTGAGATCAGACGCTGCCCAAGCACCATATCGTTCCTCCAAATTGTAAAGGCAGATTTCTCAGCTTAGCAGCACTGATTACATTGCAGAACTATTTAATGAGGCGGTTAATAACTGGAAACTGCAGAAGCTCGTCCATTCAGCCAATCATTTCATATTATTGTTCTCTCCTTCTTAAGATGGTAAAAGCTGAACTCTGATTTAATCCTATGGACAACTGCCCATCACTGCTCTTCACACTGAGTGATTAAAAGAAGATCGCCAGGCATGATAAATAGAGGGATACCATTTAATTGGTCAAGTGTATGTTTGTAAACCCCAACAATGAACTGCTCTTATTTGTTTTTGCTTAATAAGTGCAAAAAAGCATGTTGACCCTGTTAGAAATCTAGTGAGCTGATAACTTCCTGTGCTCTCTGCTGACTGTTATCAGTGTTCCCAGCTCTCTCTGTGGACTACAGAGCACCTCTCCCCTCTATGAGATAAATAGGCCAAGAGCCAAATGAATTATAATGGCAGGCTGACGACACTGCTGCTACTTGCAAAACAGTGGCTTAGCAATATCAGTCTGCAACAGGAAGCAGGATCTCCTGGTAAAAAATAAAATAACATTACAAAAACGATTTCTTAAGAAAACTGTATACTGTTTGGGACATGATGCCAAACATCAAAAATAGATTTAGGGTTTACATACACTTTTAAGTCTTTATTGCAATACACCAGGGGTTCACAAAGTTGACGCTGGTAGATAGTGTTCGCAAGTCAGCTGGCTGTTCCAAGCTCCTTCCCGCAGTGCTAGTGCGTCTGAATATGTCAGACGCCGCAGGCGAGGAGGGGCATATTCGGCCGCAGTAGCACCATGGGTGGACAAGACAGTGTGCGTGAAGAGCTGGCAAGCTAGGTAGATAAGCCAGGACAGAGAGTCGAGGAGAGAAAGCCAGGGGAGAGAGCCGAGGAAAGAGAGCCGAGGAAAGAGAGCCGAGGAGAGAGAAAGAGAGCTTGCCGAGGAGGGGGGGAGGCGAGGAGAGAGAGAGGGAGCCTGAGCGAGAGCCTAGCAGAGAGAGAGAGAGAGAGAGAGAGAGACACAGAGCACGAGAGCCTAGCAGAGAGAGCGAGAGCCGAGCAGAGAGAGAGAGAGCCGAGCAGAGAGAGAGCCGAGCAGAGAGAGAGAGAGCCGAGCAGAGAGAGAGCCGAGCAGAGAGAGAGCGAG